ATTAAAAACACCATCTACTCAGCAAACACCAGGTAACTCTGAGATCTTTTTTTCAAGATGCACAAATTTTTTAGCGACATGTTTCAGTTTGTTTTAAATAAATGTCACTATCATATTCTGAGTTTACCGTTTTAGTAACCATTACTGTTAATTTTTTCTTAAACTGTCATATTAAATGGACGAATAGTAATAGCTTTCCCAATATCGCACGATAAAAAAGCAAGATGAGTACGATTTTTACTATTGAAAAAAGAATACGAAAATATATCGCATCGTATATTTCCATTTTACAGATGGGTTTTCTTAGAAGTCTGATCAAGCTTATCCAACACAAAGAATCGCGTAAGATCAAGAAAGCGTACTTTTTTTTTAGTAATACAGCAGAACTTATAAATAGAACTCTGCAAAACCAAAGCACTACTGTTTTTAGTTCTTCAAGCTTATAGACAGTTCACTGAAAATTTTTAGTCCATTTTTTAGAAAATTTTGCACAAATTATAGTTTTTGATTGTGAATAAAAAATCTTTCTTAGAGATGGCCTGTAAAAACTCTGAAAGAACTTATAGAAAAATCCAATTTACTACAGTTGCTCTCCATGGACGATTCCCTTCCGAACACTTACTCCTCGACGACATTAGCTTCCCAGCGACACTTGCTTTCTGGACAGTGACTTCTAACAGGCACTTTATCAAGACAGTAATCAAATGGAAAAGAAATATATTGAAGGAAAATGCAGATATTATCCTTGCTTGTACCTTCACTCTCCCCCTCCTTTTCCCATTCACCTTCACTCATTTTCTCATCCACATCACCGTTCTCAGATCCGTCAACTTGATGAGAGTAACTGTCGCGTTACGAGAAAAATCTGTAGATGATTTAATGTATGGTCAACTTGCTTTTTCGAAGATGAAACCCATAATTGTTTTATTTGTCATCAAAAAATCGCTCAAAAGACAATTATTCTACTTCTATTTTGAAACAAATACATAACGATTGTTCATGAAAAAATAGATCTACTCTAAATACTAGCTTATTTCTATATTTCAGGAACAAAAATGAATGAAACAGAATCCAATGAAACCCAAATTAAGATTTGGAGTCAGATCGATGGAAACGATCCAGAAAAGGTGAAGCTTCATGCTTCTGCTGATATTGATGACCTAAAAGAAAAACTGCTCGGACAAGATGCCAAACGTTTTTATCGTGCTTACTACAAGGGTACATCACTGGGGTCTGGAGAGAAAGTTCCACTGGATACAGCGAGTCATCAACCAGTAGTACTTGAAAAATTTAACGCAACTCAGGCAGCAGCAGCTAATAGTATATTATTCTAATACAGAGAAATATATAAACAGCACGACATATTATTGTTGATTTCATAGATGTGTCACAAATGTCGAGGGACGCCGACAAAAAAAATACAAACCAAGGGTAAATGTGCAAATCATCATTTTTTTGTGATCATCACTTAATCGTTTTAGCAATGGTAGTAAGAACCACGACTCTTTATGCAAATTCTTGCCGACGCAAAATTCAATGGCTGATGTTGAACAAAAAATGGCAGGTAAGATTTTAAGCATTTGTAATGCTGTAAAACCAATAAAATAAAAAGCACTTCTATCTTCGATTCCTGCCTCAAACAAATGTTTTTCAACATTAAATTTTTAATAAATTTTCCCACATACTTAAGAGAGAATGAAGCGACATATTTAGTTGTCTCTCTTATACAGTGTAGCTCAAAAGTAGCGTAATCGAAAAAAACTGATTATCTCGTTACAGCTCGAACAAACGAGCTGATTTTTTTATCAGTGATAGAGATACATTCAAGCTTTATATTCATAAAGATATGCCTCGAGAGATCCGTGTTAAGTATCACTATTGACCTCAACAAAAAATTTCATGTTTTCACAGATAGGAAAAAAACAATGTACAGGGTGGTGCAACAGTCACATTACTGGAAAAAAAATTGAGTATCTCCATTACGACTCCAGCAAACGAGCTGATTTTGTTACCAATGATAGAGGTATGTTCAAGTTTTTTATCCATAAATACTAGCCCAGAGAGACACTTTGTTAAGTATATTATGTTTTTTCCTGTTTGTGAATAAGTGAACTTTTTTTGTTGAGGACAGTAGTGGTACTTAACAAAGGGGCTCGCGAGGCATGTCTTTATGGATACAAAACATGAACATGCTTCTACAATTGATAAAAAATCAGCTGGTTTGCTCGAGCCGTAATAGAGATATTCAATTTTATTTCGGTTACGCTACTTTTGAACCACTCTATAGATACTTAGCTTTTGAAAACTTTCGACATTTAGTAATAGTTTTTCCGAAATGTTCTAATGTAGTTCTGATCAACAAGTTGTCTAACATTATTTCCCGTGTTCATGATTCAAAATTTCTCGCAATTGAGAAATTTTTATAAAGACTCATCGCAAACTTCCGGTCGACACCAAAACATGACGCTTTCTTAGGCGTCGACCCCGACAAAGGAAGAAATTTACGAAAAATTCAGCCGGTACCAATCGATGTGTCGGTTTACACCTCTAAATACAACTCTACGAGTTCTATCCATTTATCGAGAAAAAATAAAAATACAGTAAAACGTCTCTATGTGGGCACCTCTAAAACAAGGGCACCTCGTCTATATGGGCACCCGGCGGAACGACCGGTCGATTTTTGCTGGAAATGAACCTCTATAACAAGGGCACCTCCCACTTCTGACGAGGGAAGGTCACCAACTGTTCAATCACTTTTTAGTCGGAACTACGTGCATCATGTAGGTCCTAATGAGCTATGAATACCCTGAAAAGAGTTCGGGCGGCTAGCTTATTATTGTCGAGATACTGCATTTTTATGGTATTTTTAACTAAGCACAATGCCGTAGTCCCCCTCAGGAACCAGAAAAACTGAGTTTTGAGTTTTGACTTGAAACTTTGTACAGAAACAGACCTCAGTGAGAGTAGTTTATTGTGAAAGTTTCAGGCCTTTTGGTTGTTCCTATCCTAAGATACAGCTAAAAAGGGTGTTTTTACACTGCTCGTATACCCTCGACAGGTTCCGATGTGCTTATTTCAGAATAGGAGCAACCAAAAGATCTCAAACTTTCAAAATAAGCCACTCTCATTGAGGTCTGTTTCTGTGCCAAACTTCAAGTCAAAATTCAAAACTCAGTTTTTTTGGTGCTCCTGAGGGGGACCACGGCGTTCTGCTTAACAATATCGTAAAAATGCAGTATCTCGACAGTAATAGGCTAGTCGCCCGAACTCTTTTCAGGGTATTCATAGCTCATTAGGACCTACATGATGCACATAGTTCTGACTCAAAAGCGATTGAACAGTTGGTGACCATCCCTCGTGAGCAGTGGGCACTAATTTTAGGCCGTACTGTATAGACGAACCCCTTTTATATGGGCACATATAGTCATCATATGAGTCACTTCAGTGTACTTTTTTTTCTTGTTGTTCTTTGTTGTCCTGTGAATGACATGGAGAACAGTCTCGTCTGACGACACAAACAAAATAACTCGTCTATACATTTGATTGTGCATTCAGTGATAAAAAAGTATAAATAGTCATGTTATTTGACATTGCTGAATAAAATCATTGAGAAATGACGTCGCATCATTATCTTACGCTTGACAAGAAGATCGAATTGATCAACGATAATTTTACATTGATTCAAAAACCAACAAGCAAAGCTCAATTACGGATTTTTTTCGAAAAACTTGATTGTAAATAAGAAAATAGAAAATAAACTTAGTTGAAGAAAAGGCATTAAATAATGAGAGTGAAATTCTGATACAATCGATGGTCTAAGGATAGATTGGTAATATATATGTATGATTAGTGTTTGTGACCAATATCTGTAAAAACCTCTATAACAAGGGCACCTCTATTAAGTGGGCGATTTAAAAAAGTCCCGATGGTGCCCATCTAAGGGAAGTTTTACTCTAAGATAAGTTCTATTGAAATTTTGAATTGCAGGTACGTTACCTAGACTGTAAATGCCTTAAAATTCGGATATCTACGTCAATGTACACCAATGACAGCTCATATTTTGAATTTATTTGTTTGATGGTCAAACCTTTAATTTTATCCGGATATATGTGGTCTTATTAACTCACCGTAGAAATACTGTCATTGTAAATGTAAACTATAGTATATTCATATATACAGGTAGTCCAAAAAGTATTGGGACATCTAGATGTTTTTCTGGATTTTAGCAACAAGAACAAAGATGAAATTTTTCTCTTTTAGCAAAGATAAACCTTTTCTTTTTCCCACCCTTGAATCGTCTCATGAGGACTATCGATTAATAAGAAACGAAAATTTTTATCTTTAATAAGAGAGGAAAACTTCATCTTTTGTTCTTGTTGCTAAAATCTAGAAAAACAGCTAGGTGTCCCAATACTTTTTGGACTACCTGTATAATCTAACAATAAAAGCTGCAGCTCCCACGTGTATCCTATGGTAATATTATTTCGAGACGGTTGGCGAAAGTGCACTGTATTTTCGCCAATTGACAAAACTCCAGTCATCAGTTTACCTCGGTCTATGAAACTCCTAATAATCGCCGTATACGACGCCACAGTATACGAAACCGTTAACAGTTGTTATATTTAAGAATGCGGTTTTAGTTCAGTGCAGTACAAAAATTGCGGTTAAACGTGGTTATCCAAATGAAATCCCAGTGCTTCCTGAGAAAACCGCGGTTTTCTTCGAATTTTTTTTCCATGAATATCCGAAAAAAATAAATTTCACATAGTGTCTAACGTTAAATTTCGATCTTATATACGAATATCTTCGTTTAAGCTTTTGAATTATTTAAATCAATAATTTATTTAAAATTAGTTACGATTTTTTTCCTTCTTTCGTCTTAGTGAAAGATGTTCTCTTTTTGAAATACAAATAAAAGTATACTATTCTTGATTTAAGCATCTACAAATGGGGTAATGACCAATCAGTACGCTGCTGAATGTGAAAAACTAAGGAAATTCATGAATCTCGAGAAATATGATGTACCTGTTTTTGTCCAAGCGGGTGAACTTCGATATTTGGATACTACAATTGGTGATATTTTTGAAAAAATTTCACAAGATTATATGAAAAGTAATAATTTTACACAATTGATTCTTCAATCAATAGAGCCAGTTATGTATTTATTAAAACGTCAGCAAAGTTTATCGAGTTATACAGAACAAATTCGTATGAATTGTGAAAATTGTGATACAAAAGATAAACTAGACTTTAGCCAACGACTGCTTTTTCACATACTATTGTCTAATTCAAATCCTGAGTTGTCACGCATACTGATGATATCAATGAGTAAACAAAACGCCGTACCATTTCTACAGCCAAACGTTCTCCATTGGAAGACCAGCAATGAATGTGATGATCGATACTATTTCGAACCAAATATTATATATATATGGGATTATGCGACACCAACTTTATTATCATTTGGTTTTGGCTCATGTAGTGGCAAGTCAACATTATTGAATCAATTATTTAGGTCAACATTTGAGCAAAAAAATGAAAAATCCGTTTATTTTCAAAAAACAATGGATATTGATTTTGGCTATAATTTTATTACAAAACGTCCATTGAATATTGCTGACATGCATGGTAATGTGTCAAATAGTTTACCTAGAAATGTTCTTTCATTATTTGATGGGTATATAATGCATGTCAGTTATTCAGAATTTTCTGCTTTCTCTGCCAATATCCAAAATGCGATTAATTTAATACCAATCGACAAATATTGCATGCTTTTAATACGAGATAGCCCAATTGAGTCTGCACGCAGCCAAAAAATCGATCAGGAATTGAATATATTTCTCAAAAACAATCGAAATACAACAACGCTGATAGTAGAAACATTGCCCAATCTGGAAAATCATAATAATTTGAAAACCAAAGCTGTCATACAGAAGCTACATTCAACAGTTTTCAAGAAAATGATAGTTCCTAAGAAAAAAGTGTATGTAGACAAGCAGCAGTTCGAGCCGTTATTAGACGCAAATTATGTGAAATATCTATATGGTACATATGCAATAATTTCAGATATTAAAGATATGCTTTTTAAAGCATCAAAGGAAAACAGCGTAAACAATTTTTCACTATATTCCAAATTTCATGAGTATTGTACTTTGAAACAGCAAGTAGCACGTGCCACATTTTATGATAAAGATGTTGACGAAATATTTTATATGCGTTCACAAGCAGTTAAAATCAATGATGAATATCAGTTTGAAATAATATCATCGCAACAGGAAATTAACGCTGAAAAACAAATGAAATTATCAAAAAAATACAGCAACGAATGTGGTAGAATTTTTGAATTATTTATCGAACTATTATCAACGTCGAACCGATTAATGAATTTAGATTTATTATCGAATGAGTTAAAACAAAAGCGAAATATGTCAGAAGATAACATCGATTTAGCTGATAATTTATCAATAGAAAAGACTTTGTCTGTCGAAGTTCTATGGCGTAATGCAATTGTCTGTCAAAAATATGATCAATCTAAGAATCCTAAACAACTCAGAGAATCGTATTCTGAATATATTAAAGCTGGATTTCCTTTTGAAATAATTGATGGTGATAATTTCTTTTTTCAATATGATTTCTTGTCAAAAGTTATGCAAAAGTTTTCACAGCAAAAAATATTAATTATTAGTATTATTGGCCCACAAAATAGTGGCAAAAGTACATTGTTAAACTATATGTTTGGCACACTATTTGATGTACGTAATGGTAGATGTACAAGAGGTGTTTATGGATCATTTGTAAAATCTAATATACCATCATTTGATTATATCATGTTGATTGATACTGAAGGTTTATTGGGTACCGAAAAAGGTGATCTTGAATACGACCGCCGTTTGATTTTATTCTGTTTGGCTGTATCACATTTAGTTATTGTCAATATTGCTGGTGATTTAAATCAGGCATTGAAAGACATGATTATACTCTGTGTTGATTCATTGAAGGAAATCAATGTAAATAAAATGCCAACACCAGTCGTTCATTTTGTTTTAAATCAGCGACCAGATACAAATCTTGCAAATAACCAAAAGGCAATTAAAAATATTGTAGAACAATTACAAACTGATACAACAGACAAGACTATTGCTATTTCTATCGAACAATTTCATTCCTTACCTTCAGCTTTCAAACTGGAAAATATATTAGATATTGCAAAACTTCCAAAATTGCAGGTAACATCAAATGATTTTTTGGAAGAAACAACAAAATTAACAAAAGTTCTTATAAAATCGGCTATTGATAATTATCAACGTTCTCCTAAACATTATATCGATCCCCTGAAATGGATACAAAATGCCTATACAGTATTTGATATTTTACAACATTTTCCAGATTTAACTCATTTCAAAGATCTAAAAGAGAAACGACTTGATAAACAAATACGAGATGGTATTCGAGAGCTATTAAAAACTAAATTATCAGCGACAGAGAAAAAAAAATCGTTCGATAATTGCTCAAATAAAGCAAGATCGCAAATTGATGAAATATTTCAAATATCTTTCGATGGAATATATAAAGAATGTGAAAAATCTTTACAAAAAATATTCGAAGAATTAGGCCCATCCTCTGCAGTCAGAGAAAGATCAATACAGTTTTTAAAAACACAAATATTTGAAGCACGGAATGCTTGGCGTGATGCTGCCTATCGTATTCATGACGAAAATGAACTTAATTTATTAGTACGTAATGGTGAACAAGATCTTCGAAACTTGATTGATAAAACAATTAAAGAGACCGCTGAAAAAGGGGACGAATTAAAAGAGGAGGATGCACGCCAAATATTCAATCATATGTATAAACAAAAGATGAAAAACATAAAAAAGGAATTCAATGCAAAAGAACGTCTGCGTAATGCGGTCATTGCCGTTTACAGTCTCTATGATATGTATGAAAAAGATTGTTTACCAACGGGAGAAACAATTCTTCGTCATACACCCTTAATCGACAGGATAAGCAACGATTTTCCACCATATAGTTCAGGAAACGCCGATGCAGACAGCACAGATGATGAGTTTGATATTCATGGGCAACACAAAAAACGAAGACCAATGCAACTTTCTGATGCTATTAATAACATTACAAAAACTGTAAGCAAATTCGATCATGAGAGAAGTATGATCGAAGTAAAAGCATTTATTACCAATTTAAATGTGGCCTTTGCAGAAGAGATAATTAATAAAATGAAATATTTAAAGAAAGACAATCTTAGAAATATCTATTTTGTAGCAATCGGTAGTAACAATGACAACAATGATGGACATCATTTAAGAAATCATAGTGTTTTCAGTCGTATCAAACGGTTCTTTATATCACCATCATCATCAATTAAGGTTATAGATTCAAATTTGACCAATTATCGTTATACTATTCATGATCTTATATCAAACCAGCCAAGCAATGTATTAGATGCTCCCATATGTTTCGAAACATTGTTTAAAAATGTAATGGATGAAATTGAAATTAAAGTCTCTTCCAATCAACCAGAGCAACATTTTCATTCAATAGATTTACAATTAATACAAAAAGTCGTTGCCTCTGTGAATTCATTAATCACACAAATTGATAATGAATTATCTTGGTTTAATACTGTATTATCAAAGCAAATAAAATCACGTTTTCACATATGTATTGTCATATTATTAACGCGAATATATTATCATGAACAGAAAAATCATTTTGAAGCACAATTAGCCGTACTGGAAAAAAATAAAGATACTTTGTTAAATGACTTTATAGTAAAAACGGTGAAAATGGCAACGCGTGATACTGGATTTGCAAAAGATTTAACAGATGCATTATTAGAAATAAGCAAAGAACAATTCAAAACAAAAGCACAATTGTTAATCAAAAATATTATCCAAGCAAATTATGCTACATCAAATTGTACATTCTTATTAGACCTCTGTGATCAAGAAGTAAACCGAACAACAGACAAACTTTGGTTACAAGAATATGTCACACAACCACGAGTAGTAATGGAAAAAAAATTCTTAAAAAATTGGGATGGAACCGAGGAATCCGTTAATGACAAACTTAAAGCAGAAAAATTTAATCAGAAAGAAATTTTAAGCAAGTTGTTTATGTTGATTCAGGAGATTATTGAAAAAATTGAAACACACAAGATGGATAACATTCATTTTATAAATGATGCTTTCCACACTAGCAGCGGCAATGTCGAACAAAATCGTATTAATAAAGGTAAATGTATGGCAAAGGTTCTATATTCGTATATTACTAGACAACAAATACAAAGCATTTATAAATATGATGCATTACAATATATACTTGTTCCAAAAAATTTAGATCTATTCAAGGAACTATCAAAACCAAGTGATGATGTAATTGAATTAACAAAAAAATTGAAAAACAAGTTTGATTTACTTACTTTGGTTGATTTTCCATTATTTTTAAGACAGACTTTAAAACATAAAGACTCCGTTATGGCACAGTTTGCCGGTCTATCATGCACACTGAATGATATCAATCCAACAATTAAAGCTGAAATACTTCAAAAAGGTTTAGGTTGTAAACAAGATTGTCCGTGTTGTGGGCGACCGTGTGACGTAGATCATTCACAATCTAGTACATCTATTGGAAAAGACGACAATCGTCATCGATGTGATAAAGGTCATCAATATCGTGCATTTAGAGGTTTTTATTATGAAACGGACAGCGAAAAACCAGAAGATAAACGCGAACCATCTTTGATAATGTGTGAAATTGTTGAAGAAAATCAAACGATACGTCATGAACCCACTGGTTTCGAAGGACCATGGCATGAATTCAAAAGAAGATTTCCCGAGTGGTATTTCGGTGATGAAGCAGTAGATAGAAAAACAATAAATACTGATCAAGCGCGAGACAGATATGATAAAATATGGCGGTTAATTGGACCAGACATATGCGCACACCCCAATCAGAAGTGGAAATTTGTGTTGATCAATAGTAAACCAAAGCATAGTGGCGTTGATACCACTCCGAAGCATTTTTTCTTTCTGGTTGATGGTTCTGGTAGTATGGGTGACGATAGTGAAACATCGCGTTGGGGTTCTCTGAAAAAATCTGTTTTCAGATTTGTTCAATTACGAAAGATGTATCTTGCAGATCGAATGACAGTTATTTCATTTGCAGACAACGCTGACATCACATGTGAGAACAAGCAAATAAAAGATGTAAAAGATTTGAAACGTATCAACGGTGGAACGGATTTTTCAAGAGCTATTCAGACACTAAACGTAGCGATGGATAAGATAAAAAACACGGGTTCAAGTTTCAATAATGTCGTTGCATTTATGAGCGATGGCGAAGCTTACTATCCAGAAAAAGAACTCCAGAGCTTAAAAGCAAAACATGGCTCAACGATTAAGCTATGGTTCACTATTGCAGCCGCCACTGATCGAAGCATTTTACAACAAATAAATGATACGATGAATGGCAAACTGATCGATGTAACAGCGGATATCAATATTGAAGGTGGACTAATGAAAGCATTTACTGAAATAGCTAACATAAAGTAATTTCGTTGTTACTTTATCATAAAAACTACTTTTTCATTCCATTATAAACTCTTTTTTTCCCAAATAAAGCTTAACAAGAAACTACTTTAACCGACCTATTGTTTCGACTGGACAGAGCAAGGGTGTGGGTGGGTGTGGGTGTGGGTGGGTGTGGGTGGGTGTGGGTGTGGGTGTG